GGCATAAGAAGTGCTGTCACAGATTTGTTGAGTGCTGCTTTTGCTGTAGCATCAGCCATTGTTGTACTTAACTTGTTATGCCAATATAACTAGACAACCAACAAATGACGATGTCGTATTTGCCAGTTGAAAGATGATTGTATAGCTCTTAAATATTTAAATAATTGGATGAGTCGAAGATACATTATTCAGTGCCTGACGACAAGAAATAGAATCAGAAACGATTATGAATTGTTTATATTTAGATTGGCGCTGAATGTACATTAAGGTTATTTGAATCGCCCTGGCTTCAGCAGTGAAAATAAAACTATTATAAGGTATCCTGGAAGATATGATTTCGATCCAACGACAGTGGCACTTGACACCTTGCCACCATACTTGGATCCATGGGTAAAGATTGAACGATGACTGTCATATTTTGTTCGTAATTGTACATTTTCTGGATGATATATAATTATCCCACGACACGAGGTGGGGCGGGAGATATAGGAACGGAGTTAATATGTAACCGTTATGACATGTGTTTGTCTTATTAATGTTTTATTTTGGTCTACTGTATATTCTTTTATGTATCTAGCTATTGCATATCTGCATGCTTTTTATTGACGAACTGAATATATTTTGATTCACAGATCATGTCGAGCTTTTCACTACTTTCATTTTCCTAACCTACGTACATTCTACCAACACACAAAATCTAAAGTATTACTGATTCAGACTTTATGTTATGAAGAACCATGCACATTTTGTATAATATTAGATTTTATCATTTGATGGTAGGCCTTTTCATTATGGTTTAACATAATGTAATTTCCACATTGTATAGAGATTTGCAGTTGATATCGGATCGAAAACATATATTCAGGTACATTCAATTGCATGTTTTGATTGTTTTGATAGTTTTGTTTATGGCTGACAGGTACACTACGACCACAATATGCATCCTTCAATTTCTCGATAATTTGCATGATATTAAAACATACTTTATAAATGTTTTCTGAAAACTCATAATTCATGTCAGGACGATGTCCTGCGTATAAGCGTGACAACAACCAAGTGATGAGAGGTATATATGCATGACATGTTGTGATAAGCAGCAGATCAACATGGCAACAACGGGTAATAGAAGAAGAAGAAGAAGAAGAAGAAGAAGAAGAAAAATAGTTTATTATTGTGTCACATATTATATATTAATGATGTGCAACAATAGAGGAAAAAATTAAAAACTTTGATAAAATATACAACATCCGACCAACAGGCCTATGGGACACACAGCACAATACAGTACATAATAAAATGGGAAAAATAAAGACGATACATACAAAGACCTAATCGCAGTACAATCTGTAATATGATAGTACTAATATTATGGATATATAAGGCAAATATTACCTGCTAAGGCTACTCCTACGGCGCAAGTACATTTGCCTTACTAGGGCGGCTAGGGGTTTAATCAACTTCTTGCTTTGTAAAAGGAACACGGCCCGGTTAACAGGAGATAAACAATGGTTGTAATAAACAATGGTTCTGATCTCATTATTTCCCGCCACAAGTCGTACCTTAAATCTGAGTAAAAACTACAACAGATCAAAAAGTGAACTTCATCCTCCACACAATCACTATTACAAAACTTACATGTCCTATTTTGCAGTGGTGTCTTAGGGCTAGTAAATTTACCAAGTTCTATTTCTAAAGGCAAAGTGCCACAGCGTAATTTACTGAGAATACTGCGTTGGGATCTATTCAGTATTGTAGTTACATATGGTTCAACTGACAAGAAGCTTTTAAAAAGCCTGTAAGTACGGAGTTTATTACCGTTTTCCTTGCCTCTATCATTCCATAGCTCTCTATACCACTCATTCTGATCTGATGAATACAGCCACGACTTTGCACAATTGAAATCATATCCGGATAAATGATAAAGATCGGGAACAGGCAGATGGGGACTGCTTAAGAACGCAAACACTCTGTTATTCCAAGACTTGCGGTAATTAGCCGACCACTTGCTAATGGCACTTAGTATTCTGTCTTGATCAACGGCACACAGCCTGTGCCAAAAACGTAAAGTTTCAATTTTCTGTCTAGTAAATTGTGAAATCCAGCCCATTTCGCCTCGTACTGACAAATTTGGAGTCTTACTACCCACAGATAAAAAGAAACGAGCGGCTCTGTGTTGTACATCGTTGATACAACTAAACTGTCTGATGCCCCAAATTGCAGAACCGTATGACAAGATAGGCTGGACTAAATTATCATAGAGTTTATTATAAACCTCGTACGGCATACCGCCAACAGATTTGAATTTGCATATCAAAACACCAAGTGCTCTATTAGCAGACTTTGCAATCTCTCTTGCGGTGAAATTCCAATCAAGATGTTCATGCAACCAAATGCCAAGATACTTGTAGGATTGCACAATATCCAGCTTATCTGAATTAATAGAAAACTTAAAATCTGACCTAACGGCCGAGCAAGGGCGGTAGTGTACAACCTCTGTTTTTTTTACATTAACCTGAAGTCGCCAACGCGAGGACCAATTAGTAACACAATCCAACATACGCTGTAAAGAATGTTCATCCGGGGCAATAAGGGCGATATCATCCGCATATAACACAATGCTCAACATATATCCATCCATCTGAATGCCACATCGCAGGCTGTTCATTCTTCAGCTAAGTCATTAACAAACACTGAAAATAAAGTTGGCGCCAAACCACACCCTTGACGGACGCCAGAATTTACAGGGAATGGGTCCGTTATATGACCATTTAATCTGACACGGGACCAAGTGTTATCATACATCGACTGAACTGCAGAGAAAAATCTACCGTTAATACCACGCTTCATATAGGTAATAGATGACAAGCCCGGAGAGCAGAAGGTTAGGGGTTCGACGTTAAAAGATGGTACTTGTTGTTAGCCTGACTGGCGCTCGGCATTAAGTTGCTAAAACAAGGACGGTCGGCTCGGAGTCAGTATACTGTGTCTGAGTGGGGTATTCATGTTAAACTGCGGCATCTCAGTGGGATATCGCTATAAAATCGGCATTAGTCCGGACTAGGATAATCAGACAGACACACATGCATGCACTTCGCAATATAAGTACAAAAACTTGGGACACAACGTTAAACCCCATTTTATCACAAGCGTCCCAGACTGTTGTATCCGCCATCTGTCCAGGAGGGATTGTCAGTTCGCTTCTAAGGGGTGGCTCGAAACCAGGGTTTCGTCAGTAAGCGATTAAGGGGCACTTATGATCTAGTACTGACTTACACTTGTTGTATTGAGCTTAAGTTATTAGCAAGGGTTTTCATACTTAGGTTTTCTAGTAATCCGTGGATAACAAAGTTTCCCGTGATTGTCTAGCTTTCCTTGCTCAAAGTGGCTGAGTCTGTAGTATATTACACTAATTCGATATTCAGACGGTTTTGTCTATTATATTGTCCAAGGGACTTATTTTAGTGATAGGCCCCATATTTATTTCCCGTTATTTAACCCAGCTGAAGTTATGCTCTAATTAGTTAATTAACTGAGGTGTTAATTGGACGAAGCAGACTAAACTGGCTGCCTCCGTATCTTGTCAATTTCTTGTCAAATTGTTGTTTTAGCTACTATCAATTTTTTACTGCAATACATTTGCTCTGATTTATTTGATCTGCGATCACTTTCAGTTTTTTAAAGTTTTATATTGTCGTCCTTTAATACGATCAGCTTCTAGTAATAAACCTGTGAACATATTACCACGTTTTATTATTACTTTGTTTCTTGTTTAATGACATCCCTGATCATTGGTGCACAGCTCCTTGATAAAAGGTATCTGCGGTTGCGGAACTGAGCCGCTCTAAAGAGGTATGTGTATGTTGTAGTGAGCAGTGTACATATTCATACTTCAAATGGACCGCCACCATGGGCTGGTGGTAGTGCGTTCGCCCAGAGAGCGGAAGGTTGGGGGTTCGTCGTTGAAAGTGAGTGAGTTAAAATTTAACGTCGTATCGGCATTATTTCAGCCATATAGCGACGAGACCAAGTTAAAATATTTAAAATTCAGTTATTTATGCAAAGTTTTATTTAAAAACAATTTATGAAACACACTTGAGCATAACAATATGATGTATACAGTTTTAAAACACGGGCCATAGGCCACCAGTAACCAAAGCTGTCCACCTCGCTGGGGATCATGGGGACTTACAATACCTCTGCTTCCTGCATGATACCCCAGCAGGATTTACGTCATCACTTTAGTTACTGGTGGTTGTGCGCAATACTCGACGTTAAAAGATGGTACTTGTTGTTACCCTGACTGGCCCTCGGCATTAAGTTGCTAAAACAAGGACTGGTCGGCTCGGAGTCGGTATATTGTCTGAGTGGGGTATTCATGTTAATCTGCGGCATGGTATCTCAGTGGGTTAGCAATATAAAGTCGGCATTAGTCCGGACTAGCATAATCAGACACACACACCTGGGGGCACTTCGCTATAGAAGATCAAAAATCTTGGACACAAGGTTAAACCCCATTTTATCTCATCCAACTTAAAATAGAATAGCTTGGTTGTTAATATATCTGTCAGTATTGAAGGAGAACAGTTGCATACTCATGCATCACAATCAACGAACACGTTGTGAGCATTCCAGTTGTGTTCATGGATATTAATAATACATATTTATGAAAAATATATGATTTTGCAGAGACGTAATATGAATTGGTATGACACAGAAGGCATTACTGGTTCCATCACACGTAAATCAAAAACATACGACCCGTGAAGATCCGGGATTGAATAGGTCTTCAGCAACCCATTCTTGCCGTAAAAGGTTACTGTGTTTGTCGTAAGAGGCGTCTAACGGGATCGAGTGATCAGGCTCGCTGACTTGGTTGACGCATGTCACCGCATCCCAATTACATGGATCGATGCTCATGATGTCAATCACTGGATTTCCAGGTCCAGACTCGATTATTTACAGACCGCCGTCATATTACTGAGTGCGGCGTTGAACAACGAACAAATCAACAACAAACAAATTACATATAGTGTCGGGGAAGTTTGATTATTGTCGAAAGCATAATCCATATCTGCATTCTGTAATGTCATTTCATATTTTGATAAGCCCACGATAGCATTTAATTCACTATTTATATATGTTCATTTGAACATGAAGAACTAAACATGTAGACAATGTTACTGCAGCTGCTCTCATCCCATATTTCACATTATTCTAGAAACTATAGAACCATGCAAGCATTTCGTTAAATTAAAAACAAGAACATATTTTATCACTAAAATATAATTGCCCTTTTATTTCCAAAACATGCAAACAAATCAACAATGCACAAATACCATACCATTTGACTAAAACAACACAGTGTCCATGGCAACTGAGTTAATATGCAAAGTGTTGCAAAAGATATAATCATTTAGTGAATAACTCATGCCGGAATTTCGATTGAGTGAGCATGGTTTTACGCCGCTTTTAGCAGTATTCTCGCAATATCACGACGGGGTCGGAATTATTTGTATCTGCTCATTTACTCTGAAATGGCGTGTTGCAGGTTGATCATTAAGAAGGAAGAGCTATTTCTTCCTCAGGTGTATCCCGGATGATTGCCCACTTCTGCACGTGACCCTGTCCAAGAATTAGGTACACAACAGTTCCGATCCCAAGCAGACCGGCGGTCAGGAAAAACACTATCTGCCACTGTTCTCTAGTTTTCTGAAAGCCGAGCAATAAAACAATCATCTGTGCGAATCAGAGTGAATAACAATAAAAAAAATGTGTTCAAGAGTTGGCGGTGGAGGATTTTCCTGGACATACTACACGAAAATGTTATAGAATGAACATATCCATAGATCTAAAGATAAATCACTTGCAAAACATTAAAACAGATGATCAATAAATATGTTTAAACTTTTACCTATATACTAGTATGTTGTTCACAACCTTGCTCTAAACCTTTATCACACGATCGTAGACTATCAAGTACAACTACGCGGATTCATACAGTTTGCACATCGGTTTTTCGATTCATACCTCAATGAACCAAAAAAAATACACAGTCAATCCTTAAATAAAGAAGCACACACATGACATACTCATATGTTCGTTCTATGTGTTAATTAACGTTGTTCTTTCTGATAACCATTTTCTGTAAAATTACGCCAAGGAGAAACATGCTTCTTACATCTTTCGTGACCTCAGCAACAACATAGGGCACCAGTATTCCAGGAATCATGCTCACGGCGTTGGAAACAGTCATAATTTTGGTGGCAAATACAGGCGCGATATCATAGAAGTTGACCAAGATTCCACAGAAGGCCAAACCGCCAAGGCCGATGGCTAACGTCAGAACGGCCACAGCGATGTGACTCTGGGTGCAGTCTAGATAGCTCAGTACGATCAACAACATGCCAGGAACAAGATGACCTGAAAGTAGGCATTGGATTACATATGTGGACACTGTGCATCAAAGTTCAAATTGCCAGCAGCAGCAGGGGTTACTCAATTGGACAATGACAGAAATGACTTCTCGTTGACGAAATGTATTTCTCATCTTTGAAAAATATGATCTTATAAGCCTAAATCGCATGAACAACCAGACCATTTTGGATTAGCAATTACAAATCTTGTATAAAGGTGTCATAGTGACCCAAAATGGAGACTCCATATTTATACTTTTCTATAAAATTATTTCCTGTAGCTACGGAAAACACGTACTTACCTATGACCGTCATGAGTTTCCTTGTGTACTTTACACTTAGCAACTGTTTCTCTATGAGAGCATCTGCACATAATGACCCGAGAAGAATTACGAGGAACATGGCCAGATAAGGGATGAAGGAATATACGCCATTCTGTTAATACAAGATGAGTTTGAATGAGTTGGGTTTAACGCCGCTCTTAACAGTATTCCAGTTATAACACGGCGTGAGAGCTGTGGGAGGAAAGCCCGAAGTGATGCAGGTCTCTGACGTTTATCACTTTGGTGAAACTCATGATCACTGGTATGGAGCTCACAAACTTAGAAACTAATCGGGTCGAACCGGGAATCGAACCCACGATCAATGGTTTCTTGCCTCCCCACGGGGCGCAACTCTGCAGAGGGAATTGCTGCGCCTTAGACGAATGGTCCTCTTGTTAACTTAAGGAACAACGATGATGAATTCTTTTTATAACCTACATGGCAAAAACACATATAACCGTGAAGGTTTTGCTGACTTGTCTACTCCATGTATTTCTAATCAAAACCCCTTTGCCACAACAGCTTGTGAGGGTTCTGGAATAACAAGTTATTGTGAAAAGGTAAAGGTAGTCCATCATGCATCGCTTTGTCGCTAATTGTTTCCCGTCATCCGGCAGTAATTCACATATTTTCTTAACCTTGAGATGATCATGCTTTTGTTCACATGTACCAATTAAAGCGTTGAAATTACTTCATTCGACATCTTCCTTGTTGTTCGAGGTTGAGAACAGATGCCAGTATGGGCTTCCATGTTTCACATGATTCAAACAATATTTGTCTTGTTAGCGCACAACGACCGATGCGTGAAATAGAATAGTAGATAACAATATATTGCTTTTCTTAAAACTCTCCTTAATGATATGCTTAGGAATATCATAAATAAATTCCAACGTGAATAGCCAGGCAATTGGTTGGTCAGTCACGCTGAACCGGGATTCGATTCCTCGCATGGGTGCACATGGGTATAGTGGGTACAATTCCTCATATGGGATGAAACCCCTTGTAGCCTAATGATTCGAGCGTCACGCATAAGACCCAGGTTCGATTCCCCACTTGGGTACAACGTGTGAAGTCCATTTCTGGTGTCCCCAGTCGTGATATTGCTGAAATACTACCGAAATGGCGTGAATGCATGCTTATTCACTCACTCAATAGCAAGAAGAAAAAAATCATATTTAAATACATCAATAAACTCATATGAGCTTATTGAACACTATATGAACAGTCTACCAACAAAATTCTAATATGGATTTAAGTTCCTGATGCTTCGTTTCCGTTGGGATATCGTACGACAAATATGGTAAATTAATCATGTACAGATGGATCTACGGGTAAGCAGTTTGAAACAAAAACAGGGTTTGTGTTGACAATGTTCTGTAACATTTGGCATCCTGGTTTATATAGTTGTTGATCCAATTATACAATTGTTAAAATCGAAAAAAATAAATTCATCCATAAAGTGTTTGAAAATTAAAACAAACTATGCCTGGGATTATTACAAAAACTACAATTTGGCATTGAGGTTTTTTTTTCAAAAACAACGTGTAGGTCTAAGGGTTTAATTTTAAAAAAAGAAATCTGGTCTTGCAGAGGAAAGAATACCTAGTCTCAAAACAAGACCCAGCAGCCCCTTACATTTCTGATTGTTTACTTTCATATTTGAATATTCAAGGTTTCAGTTTATCCACTGACCGATTTAATGTCGAAGCGCAGTACTTCCTTCATGTAGATGGGTAGGTTGGACATCATGAGGAAGATGCTCCAGTTATAGGTCACCTGAGCACATACTATAGCAAGGAAGGGTAAAGACGTGCATATATCTACCCATGGAGTAGGTATCTGTACCTGAAATTGAAAACAAGACACTGGACTAATAAAGGTAAAATAAATCCTCATTGTTGAAAAGTTCTTTTGAAGGGCTCCATACGATTCAAGATATATACAGATGAGCTGTTGATATTGTGAAAGAAATCATAAATCAATAGAAATATAAACAACTCGGGAAAAACAATTGAATTATCCCTTTGTCCCTATTTTTTACATTGGAAGTTCAGGTCAGTGGGAGTGGGAGTGGGTGCGGTGTGGGCGGGGGTGTAGTGTGCACGGGTGAACCTGTCGTCACAGGCGCTGCAATTCGCTGTGAAGGGAGGGAAACCTCCTCTGGGCGTGTAAAACCTGTAATCAAAGGTTCAGTTCCTAGATTCCCTAATTATGACTCTAGGTTTGTCAGCACTATGTACATGCTCGTGCTTTTCACTGAAGTGGTAAACGTCCAGGCTTCATTTTCCCAAACGAAGCCGACGCGCCACGAAATACACCAAATGATGTTTAAAACGGCGTTAAACCAAATTCACTCACTCACTCATAATGAATTGCCTGTAAGTTTCACATCCTCGCTCCCTAGAGTACAGAAAACACAGAACTGCTAAACGTTTACAGTTACATTCGATCATACATACGGTCATACAGTTCATGTAAAAGTAACCAAATTATTAGGAATCGATTAATAAGTATTGCTTTCCAGGCTAAATCTTGACCTATTATTGCGTGAATATTTCTGATTGATATCTTTGCTGTATTTCGTGCATTAGTGACTTCTCTGCGTGTTAATGATTCATGCTTGAAAGATGGAGCGTCTGTATTCATGCAGTCAAGCAGGCAAACACACAACACAATTTCTAACGACTGCACAAATACAAGGCATACTTATACATACATACATATTAGACATACTTAGGCATACATATATTCTTCAATCTTGCATAGCGCATCAGTAAACCGGTTCGATTTTTTGTCCGCATTACTCAAAATACATTAAAAGATGGTACTTGTTGCTTCCCTGCCTGATGGTCACCATAATGGTGATAAAACAGGGACTGGCATGGTAAATGTGGTATGTACGTCGTTATGTGATGAAAAGAAATTGAATGCGACGTTAATACTATACTTCACTAACTTTTCTTGATTGTTAATCTCTTTATTGCCAGACTCACATTGTCACATAATTAAATCATCTTTCTTGAGTAGACTTACAAAATAGCTTACAGATGCATGGTTATTAGAGAAAGATGTATTGACTCACTGACACGTCTTTCGTGGTCGACCTTCCAAGTGATGCTTCTATATACTGCAGTTCCTTTGGGTGTATTCTAGGATGGTGTGCCGGTTCATCGTACATGCAGAACATCCAGATGAACGTCCACAATAAGCCTAGGACACCTGAAAATAGTGAGTGAGTGAGTTTGGTTTAACGCCGCTTTTAACAGTATTCCAGTTATATCACGGCGTGTCAGCTTAATGTGGGAGGAAAGCCCGAAGTGATGCAGATCTCAGACGTTTACCACTTCGGTGAAACCCACGAGCACGGGTATGGTGCTGACATACCAAGAAACATAATCGGGGCGAGCCGGGATTCGAACCCATAATCATAGGTTTTTGGCGTGCCCAAGAGACGCAACTCTGCACAGCGAATCGCGGCGCCTTAGACGACTGGGCCACCCGTGCCCCCACCTGAAAATAATATCGTTTACACAAGACATCTGAAAATAATATCGTTTACTCAAGACATCTGAAAATAATATAGTTTACACAAGACATCCTGCTGAGTGCCCCAGACAGGGTTAACGCCGCTTGTCAACACCACCACAGCGGCGGACACCAGACATCGGTGTTATGAGTGCACGCGTAAACCACGAGGCTAGTCTACTGTCCCACATGCAGCTCAATGATAAACACATGACTCATACATATGCAGAACCATGGTACATACATGTTTTATGCTCGTTTGTTTATTTAGTGTTGTTTAACGCCTCACTCAGCAATATTCCAGATATATGACGGCGGTCTGTAAATAATCGAGGCCAGACCAGACAATCCAGTGATTGACATCATGAGCATCGACCCATGCAAATGACATGCATCAACATTGTCAGCGAGCCTGACCGCCCGATCCCTCTCACGACAAGCACAGTCCATGGGTTGCTGAAGACCTATTCTACCCCGGATCTTCACGGGTCGGTACGTACATGTAAATACATGTTATTTGATTATCTTTGGATATAACATATTATGATTTGTCTGTGTGTCATCGTCGATATGTGATAAATATATTTATGAATATAAAATATATTAATGAAAGTCAACTTTAATGTTGTCAAATATTTGACTAGGATACCCGCAACACCGCGATCACATTTCAATGAGATCATGTTCCACCACACATGTACATGCATACACACGAGACATGGCTTTTTTTTAGCCAAGAAACATATGCAGACAGAACGTCTGACTCGCAGGTACATATAATACCATATAGCCTCGTGATTGCATGTCGTGATACACCAATCATTGTGGGTTTTTTAAAGAAAAGGATCAAAGAAATTCCAATCCTATTGATTGTCAATAAAATATGTTGAATCGAAATATCAATATGCTTCATTTGCAAATAGCTACCAAACTGTATTTGTGGTATTATGTAGAGCATGGATGTCAATGAGGCTGCATGAAATAATTGCAAGAAGCGATAGACACTAGGAGTGTCACAATATACCCACCTCACACACTCAATTAGCCCTGTGTTTGTGTGGAGGCTGTGGAGTAGCCTAGTGGTGAAAGCGTTTGCACCGAAGACCCGGGTTCGATTCCCGACATGGGTACAATGTGTGAAGCCCATTTCTGGTGTCCCCCGCCGTGATATTGCTTGAATATTGCTAAAAGCGGCGTAAAACCATACTCACTCATTCCAACACATTTCTTTTGTCCCTCGCCGTGTTAGTACTGGAATATTGCTAAAAACGGCGTGAAAGAACATGCTCACTCAATCACCGTATAAAAGAAAATGAGGCGTCATCTTGTTGACAACGATTCAAATTCGGGATATACAGATTTCATTTCATAGTCCTATTCTTCTATTACCGTAACGTTTGACTTTGTTCAACAGATACTTTCCGCTTGTGGTGATTTTTCCGCAAAAAATGTATCAAAGTTGAAGTTGCAACACCATGCCATTATGGTTGGGGCAGGGTACAATGAGCTTGTTTGTTTGTTGTTTAACGCCGCACTCAGCAATATTCCAACTATATGACGGCGGTCTGTAAATAATCGAGTCTGGACCAGACAATCCAGTGATTGGCATCATGCGGATCGATCTACTTAATTGGGGTACGGTGACATGCACCAACAAGGTCTTTGAGCCTGACCACCTGATCTCGTCAGTCGCCTCTTACGACAAGGATGGGTTGCTGCAGACCTATATAGGGGTATAAAGAGAGTCAGACGCATATGATGCTTACCATAGAGATAGAACACGGAGGGCCATCCTCCGGCAAAGTTCACCTTGCAGAGGAACGCTGATAGAGGAAACACTAGAGCAGTTGCTGATATATTGCCGGAGTATGTGATGCATATGAGTCGACTTCGTTCTGTCGGAGGCGCCCATTTTCCCCAGACAGCAAACAGACCAGGAATAGTAAAACCCTACAATAAGCGGTCTATTAGCGAGATATATCACATAACTTGATCTGTTTCTTTGTATGTAAATAATCGAGTCTAACCAGACAATCAAGTGAGCATCGACCTACGCAATGGGATACGATGACATGCATCAACCACGTCAGTGAGACTGACGTTAGTCGCCTCTTACGACAAGTATAGTCACCTTTTACGGCTGTTGCTGAAGACCTACTCTAACCCGGATCTCACACATAATTTGGCTAGTTATGGTACAAAAACTATTTTCTTTAATCCATAGAAGAAGACCTGTTGTTTGGATTTTACAGAAAAGAGACTGTCTGTGAATTATCCGCGAATTATTGGCAATTTTACTGCAGAACCCGATAACAACCCTTTGCACTCTAGTGTACATTGTGCCTATGTGGAGCATCGAACATAGGACTTCGGTGTGAGACCCGTGAAGATCCGGGGTAGAACAGGTCTTCAGCAACCCATGCTTGCCGTAAAAGGTGACTATGCTTGTCGTAAGAGTCGCCTAACGGGATCGGATGGTCAGTCTCGTTGACTTGGTTGATGCATGTCATCGATCCCAATTCCGTGGATCGATGCTCATGATATTAATCACTGGATTGTCTGGTCCAGACTCGATTATTTACAGACCGCCGTCATATAGCTAGAAATAATGCTGAGTGCGGCGTTAAACTACAAACCAACAACAACAACAACTTCGGCGTGACGAGCGAAAGATTTAACAGCTTGGCTACCCCACCGCCCAGTTCAATCAGAAGAGTGCCTGGGAAATTAAACTGATACCATGGACATACATAGGTGGATCGGTATATTTAAATAACAATTAGATATCAAATAATTATATCAGCAAAATGTAAACATTCAACTTCCATTGATAAAATGACACTAACGTTAAAGACTCCCATAATTGCTCTGAGTACGAGCACTGCCCAGGGGGACCACCAGGCTGTGACCGGCGTCAACAACGTGAGTATTGACATGAAGAACATCCCAGTCGCCACCACTTTCTTTGATCCCCATCGTTGGATAAGAATTGAGCAGAAAATCTGGAGAGTCATGTAGCCCCAGAAAAGCCCTCCAAGCACGAGGCCCTGTGCCTGCTTGTCCCACACCAGCTCCCCATTCTGTTTGAAGATACATCAGTAAAATATATACTATTGTTTGTTTGCTTCTTTGTTGTTTAACGCCGCACTCAGCAATACTCCAGCTATATGACGGCTGTCTGAAAATAATAGAAAATTCACCAGACAATCCAGTGATTAACATCATGAGCATCGATCTAAGCAATTGGGAAACGATGATATGTATCAACAAGTAAGTGAGGCTGACCACCCGATCCCGTTAGTCGTCTCTCACGACAAGCATAGTCGCCTTTTACTGCAAGCACGGGTTGCTGAAGATCTATTCTACCCTGGATCTTCGCGGGGCAAAAAAGAGTTACAAACTGTCATTCAAACAAGCGCTAGACTTTCATGAATGAATATATGTAATGTTCATGGGTGGAAGATACAACTGTAATTAACATGTTTGACGGGACCAACAGGAAGCGGTTTGGTATAAAGAAAGGGTTACATACTCATTTGTGGAGCTGATCTGATCATTCGAAAGTCGCATGAGTGCATTCCTGCCTTTGATTAACCCACCCGAACCACCATCTGATTTATCAACTGATTTACCCACTTTTTAAACCACCTAAAGGACGTCTCATTTAGATAAGCATGTTCAGAATGAGAGTGCCAAAAAACTCCCTACAAAGTAGAGATAATTTATGGATAATTACTTCGCTATTTACTGTTAAGGGGACGTTTCGGTATAGATCCTTATACCATTGTCAAGCAAGGCACACTAGAATTATCTCTACTTTTTCATCCGTCAACTTCTAAGTAATGCCTATCAAACAACTCCACACACGACTGTATGCCAATAAAGAAGACTTCAACTTTCAAGGAGTCAACTTTCCCTCTAGGTCGAGCAGTATTCTAGCAGTTCCAGCCTTTGGTACGATCGAGCACGCTTGTTCTACCAAAATTTCTACCAAAAGCGCCATACGACTCTTGCTCAATACTAGTTTGATCAAGGTTCCAAAATTCAAGGCCTCAGTAACGCTTTCAAACGGTTTGATGGTAGACACGTGGAGGACGCATTCTTGACGCATCCGTTTCCAAAATAATGTCCAATGTAAATCCTTATTTTGACTTGTTCCATCCGTTGCCGTGCTTTTTTCAGGTGAACAATTTACTTGCCTTTGAATGTGTTTGTGACGGGTGCAACCGGTGGGGCAGGATACGATCACATTTTTGAGTACACCTGGTATCATTGAGTAAACTTAAATATCAGTACACATGTCTTTCTGTATGCTTGCAGTGTTCAGGTCTTTCGATGTGTGTTCTAACTGTGTGGTGTATTATTTGAATACAATAAACTTGACGGGCTACTCACAGGACGAAACATTTTATGTGTACTTAAAATGACATCACTGTCAGATATAAATCGCATTTCAATCATTAAAACGCTACCTTTTGAAACGCAGGATGTATTCCTAGCTGATTTGTTGTTCAGTCAATTCGTGTCGCACATGGGTTGCTAAAGACCTGGGCCTTGTTCCTCAAAGCGATCTTAGAGCTACGATGTTCCTAAGCCTATGTTAAAGTATGGGAGTTACGATCACCTTAGTGCTAAGGTCGCTTTGAGGAACGGGGTCCTGTTCTACCATGGATCTTCACGGGTCCTATTACCACGTAGTCATCCACACCATAGGCATGTTTTATAGGATTCCTGTTCATTATTTCTATTCGTATTCATTAATAACTTACGAATGACTTGTGGGATTCATGTTCATAGCAATATATTCAATAGCGATGGAATTCAGTCATTCCCGGAATATTAATTGACAGATGAAGAAATGGAGAGTCAATATGAATTATGCTTACCTCACGCTCCTGTGAATTGTCATCAAATGTTGGAGTGCCACATGAACGGTATGGAGACTCATCATCAGTGGCATTGCTCGTGAATCTTATGTTAGAGGTTGTGTTGATTCCCATGTACAGATATCTCGTTGTGTCGTTGGTGGAGATGGTGGCATTGTCGTTCACTGAATGGCCGTATTTTAGGATGTCCACCGCAGTGTGGTTGACCATGCAGACAATAGCCATGCTGAGGTCGCCGCGTTGAAGGAATGTATTCGCCATGCCGAAGGAGCTAATGAAAGCTATGAAATATCGGGTGGAGCGGTACCAAGGCGGGGGCCCTTCATCTGAAACATGTTGTAATATATCCTTTAATAAAGCGACAAAACCCTTTATATCTGTAGCAGGGCGTGGAGTCATCCCACAGATGACATCCTTACTTTGTCAGCTTGCTGACGGGGTTAACCTCTTTGGTCATGTGGACAAGGCGTCCGACCTCTGATCAGAAGGTCCGTGGTTCGAATCCCATCACGGGACTCGTAAATTGTATGGCCGCTACAAAATTGGCGCCCAACGTGGGGCTGAGCATGTTTATATTAAATTTGAGCAAAATAATCCTCAGTACCCTACTATGCGGCCCGGGGCGTGCCTTCTGTTGACTGGGGAGTATGTAGCAAGGCGTGGAGTCATCCCACAGATGACAGCTTGCTGACGGGGTTAACCTCTTTGGTCATGTTGGACAAGGCGCCCGAACCTCTGATCAGAAGGTCCGTTGTTCGAATCCCATCACGGGACTCGTAAATTTTATGGCCGCTACATATCCAATAGAAAACTCTGCGTAAAGCAGTGTCGATTGTACGATTCCGACTATATCATGAACATGAGTTTATGAATCACTATCAAATAGAGATGATACCAGGATCCACTTGCACAAAGCGATCTTAGAGCGAAGATGATCTTAACTCCCATAATTTAACATAGGCTTACAATAGTCTTGGCGCTAAGATCGTTTTGTGCAAGTGGACCCAGGTGTTCGCGAAAAGGTGAGCGTACCCAGTCCCACCCGTCACAAACACATGCAAAGGCAAGTCAACTGTTTACCAGCATGTACGTACGAAAATTGGACATTCGCCTTTTTAACCGGTATTGTGCAACTCTGGTAATGCTCTGGGTGTTACTATTGATAAGGTGAGGTTTGGTAGGAGATAAACAGACTTTGGGTTCAGCCAGTTTATGTGTAGACCTAATCGCGCTAAATTGAACCAAGCGAACCGCGTGAGTATTTCAATCTAAGGTAAGCGGAGTTAAATCTACAGGTTATTTAGCTCTATATTGAAAACACATTATTCGCGTCTCTATTCCGCAATGACAAAAAACAACTCGAACTGTTTGGTGTTGGCAAAGATTTTGTGTGAAGCGGTATGAGTTGAGTTGATTTTTTGTGTGGTTTGACCAATCAGAATCTAGTATTTACTACATTCATGACATCATTTCGAATTCCTGTTCCCTTTTACACGAATAGTCTTTTACACGGTTTTGTGAAATATAAGGCTTTTCTCTTTTAGAATCGCTCTTAAAGATGTAAAATTTAGTACAACGTAAAGAGCATCTCTTTGACAAAACATATTGAGTTCATTAATCACGACAAGCAACCTGTGACCTCTGCACGCCGATACCATGATGGCTAGACATTTTGTAATTGCTCTTTCAGTCAACTGTTATTACACCCAACGTTAAAGTCACACAACTGTCCATACAATTCTGTGATACATTTAAAGGATAAATGCTTAGTACTAATTGATGCAAAATTACATCAAGAGGTACTTCGGGGTAGATTACGGTTTAAAAGTCACGTGTCGCCAATAATCTGACAATTATTGTTAATTTAATTAATTGTCTTTTAAGTCATAAAATTGTATACGATAAAATGTACAGTTAACGCTAGTTAAAACCTTAGATGTTGATAATCAAACAATGTTACGAGTGCTTAACAAAACTCGTTTTCAAACTTAAATAAATAATAACCTTGACCACTTGTAAGAACACATAGGGTGGGCATACACAAAGATCGTATTATATTGACTATTAACTCCGTTTGATATAAGCGAATCATATCCAACTTTAGAAGAAACGAGCTTGAATGATTTGCTGGTTATGCTGTGCAACAGGTTGTTGCATTGATTTTCACATATTACAGTCAATAGACTCTGTTTTTGACATTAAATAATCAACAAACAGCTGCTAAGTTAATCCGTGTTTTTTAAAAATGATAATTAAATGAAACAATAAAGCAGACGCAGCGAATAACAAACGCGCTACGAGGTGTTACGGTTTACCTTTGGCGAGGAACTCACAGCATTCATTTACGAGGCACAGATTTTCGCCATTCCGACCTTCGAGTAGGTTATGCTATCTGTACAGTTACGAATGGATAATGAGAAAATAAATACGCAAACGTATAAAATGTCAATTATAAATGACCTTCATTGAATGGAGCCTATTGTTCAGATGACGACATGTAATCAACGCGTGACATCATGAACAAAATATGACGTATAAATACATTTGTCTCAACAAAGAAGCAATATGACGTATAAAGGCTCGCACTGACCAATAAGCATTGGTCATAACCGGTAAGATGCACATGTGCAAATAAGTACATGTGTAAAAGTAATTTATGATGCTGGACTATTGCTCAATCCGTCGTAATGTCATACTCGCTAACTAACTCATCTCAAATGATACTGAAATAAATAACACAACTGAGACTGTTATAATTATTAGTTGGTAAATATCGATTAACACACCACTGCTCATAATCAGGGCTTACGAATCACAGATAAAAACGTAATAAACTATATAATTTCTTAAAAAAAATGATGATGAAAATGACAAAATAACATTTACTCTGGTTCGGCTCACAAAAGTGACATGGCTAAGTACTTGGTAGATGTCGCGACAATACTATTACAATTTTCCGTACAAAGGCTGTAGGACTATAGAAGCAAATATTACCTCTGTGGTCTGTTGGATCGAGCGTCTGTGTAACGTGTCTGAGTGGGGTATCCATGTTACACTGAAGTATGGTGGCTGACGATATGTGCGCTTGCACTATAAAAACAGCCCAAATCACGACTAGTACAAGCAGCCAAACACACGCTATAGAATACACAAATCTTGAACGCGACGGTAAAAACAATCCACCTTGCCTTACTTCACAAAGAACAAACCGTCCCCGTGTGTATTTTTAGCTGAGGAAGTACGCTCCAACCACTAAATGTTGGCTTGCCAGGGCAAATCGAACACTGAACTGTTTGTTACCCTTTGAAGCTACATGTCACTTTAAGTTATCGCCTACTGGTGATCAGAAACAATTGATCCCTTTGGCGCCCAACATTCGACATAATATCTTGTACATTTATGTGCAAAAGCTGCTTATCTCTGCCAACATTTCAGTCGACTATCTTGCTTCACTTATCATGGCCGAGATGTGGTGTGTATCCCATCCGGGATCGATTTTTCACGTGAATGTCATTCCTCATATTATACAGCTTGCGGTTGTAGCCACGACGAAGGTATAACGTAGCAATTGTTGTAACCAATTACATGTAATACACACGAGACTAATCTATAGATGATTACACAAACCTCCGGTGGCATCACCTGTTCCCGACATGTTAACATAAACACACGTTTTCCTGACTGTGATAACCGTTTCCTCCAGATTTTGTGGTACACAAGCCAGATGGAGTTACCGTTCTTGAGTATCGACATCACTCAGGACGCACGTGTTCGCGGTGAGGACATATTCCATGTGATACTGTCATAAATATCCCCGTGTGGTCCTATGTCTGCATTTGTGGTACATATATAGTATTAGTTACTAATTACGTTACCCAAATCTATACATTTGGATGAACAAGCTTAAGATTTGACGATACCAGGACTCACAATTATAGGTGATCTATTGAACCAAAACATTTAAATTCATGTTAAGTAGTCATACAAAGTACATATTTACGCCCCGCAAAAGTCATATGTAATTTCACTGTTATCGACAACGAAACAAACAACTGTCTGATCATACAACCAGCACGTATACATATCGAAATCCCTGCTATAGGGTGCGCTGTACATAGCAGTGATTTCACAGTAGAGAGACGCACAACATGTACGCCATTCCTTTTCTTAACAGTGACCATGAATTGATTTCCGTTATTCACGGTGTAATGAAGACTAGAAAAGGGGTATTATATTGCGCCCGTGTGTGGGAATGGGGGTGGGAGTGTGTGTGTGGGGGGGTGTCGGGGGGGGGGGGGGGGGGGGGGAGGTAGGATTAGTCGTACTATAGTTGATGTACAATGTGTCATTTCTTCATATTTCCAAGCAAGAAGACCGAGTTAGCGAGGGGGAAAGTTTGGATACAGGACGTTTGGATGTCAGCATAGAGCAATGGAATGCAATCCGACTGGACACGGCGTTTTTGGTTCTTTGCATATAGAGGCATCTCCCCATGAGAGAGAGTCAGCCATACTGAAGGAACTCGTTTACGGACATGAGAGTGAAAGTTTTAATATTAATATTACCATACCAACGGTTAATATTCATCACCACGGGGACAGGTGTTTGCCTTAGGAATGCCTTTCAGCTAAATGAGTGAGTGAGTGAGTTGTGTTTAACGCCGCTTTTAACAATATTCCAGTTATTTCACGGCGTGTCAGCTTAATGTGGGAGGAAAGCCCGAAGTGATGCAGGTCTCAGACGTTTACCACTTCGGTGAAATCAACGAGCACGGGTATGGTGCTGACAAACCTAGAAACATAATCGGGGCGAACCGGAATTCAAACCCACAATCATAGGTTTCTGGCATACCCAAGGGACGCAACTCTGCACAGCGAATACCAGTGCCCCCTGTGAGTGTTTGAAGACGGCGTTGGTATGTTTGATGACGATAAATAGCACTAAAATATTACCATGCCTAATAACTTCATGATGACACAGGTGAGTAGAAAGGGACGTCTCTCAGATGTAATCATTATTGAAATTCCAAGACATTCCGTACGCAGTGACGAAAGTAGTTTCTGGGCGTGGCCAAATAGTTCACATTCACAAGGTAATGAATGCAGTAACACGTGACCAATTCAGCTACTCAAAATGCAGGAACGACAATGGAGTTTAATTATGTAGTGACGTACAGAATGGGACATGAGTGAGTGTGGTTTTACGCCGCTTTTAGCAATATTCCAGCAATATCACGGCAATATCACCAGAAGTGGGCAGCACACATTGTATCCAAGTCGAGACGTGACTTCTGTAATTGGCACAGATAATAAATAATGGCTTTATTGAATGTTCATAGGAGTACATTTGTATCAGTGCACTTTGCACATCAGGTTGACATATCTGACAGATACAGGTGAATTAGGACTTCGTTCAGTTCATAATCAGGTCTACAGGACTGTAGACATAGCACAAGCTCAACACGGAGAGTCTGTGGAGAAAGACACTCGAAGTCGGTTGGTCCAATGTTGATCAGTTTACACCAAACTTGATCCCGTGTATACTTAAGGTAATCACAGTGAACCACTGCGTGGACGGGGTCACTGGAGGTTCTACACATTTCTCACAAAGGAATATGTTATGAAGGAACATTATGGATTAGGAGCTGTGCTGGGGTCCTGCACAAGGTACTTACCTGAGCTGTCGTCCATGCTTGGTGAACCACAACAGTTCTTCGTCCGTTCACACCACGTTGTCTCATGGAACTTCCTAATAGTAGCTTTTTACAGTCTGTTTCTACCTCTTTTGACTGGAAATGTGCCTGTGGACAATTACCCATCTATTACATTTCTCAGAGTGTACTTGTGCATGAGTCTAATTGCATCATGTACAAATTCACGTTGTGTACATAATAGGCCATGCACATCACAGAGTAGTCTAGTCACGATACCTGATTAATCGTATTGGTGGTTATTCGAGACAGGTTATTCTCTGACGTACAGGTAGATGTTTTATATTCATTATATGCTAATTCTCATTGTTAATCCTTATCAGCCAGCCTGCACAAGCAGTGGAACAATGGCGCTTCTTCTTAATTGTTGTTGTGACTTTCATGACTTAATCCATGACAGGTGGTAATCAATGTTAGGGAAAGGCTGGCTGCTCCCCGGCACCATACCATTTACAGGCGTCTCAAAGTTTTGTGCAGGGTTGCGTCCCCTTTGGCCGACATATAGCTGGAATATTGCTGAGTGCGGCGTTAAACAACAAACAAACAAACAAACAAACAAGCAAACTTCTTTGATAGGCATTTAGAAGTTGGAGTACTAAGTAAGGATAAGAAATTTATGGATGAACAACTTCTTTATTACAATTAAGAGCGACGTTTCGGTGTAGGTTCTAACACTTGCTTGATAACGGTGTTAGAACCTACACCGAAACGTCGCTCTAAATTGTAATAAAGAAGTTGTTCATCCATAAAGTTCTTATCCTTAATTAAACAAGCAAACAACGTATATCAACGTCATTACTTACATGCATTATACAGAATTCACACAATTTGCCATGCAAACAGGCTTGCACTAGTTATATTACATAAATCGGTAAAATTACATGCAAATATAATGAATTCATCATATATGAAGGGGGCCACGCTGTGCAGAGTTCCGTCCCGTTGGCACTCCAGAAACCTATGATCGCGGGTTCGAATCCCAATACGGCCAGATAATGTTTCTAGGTTTGTTAGCACCATGCCCGTGCTCGTTGGTTTTACCACAATGGTAAACGCCTGAGACCTGCATCACTTCGGGGTTTCCTCCCACATTAAGCTGACACGCCGTGATATGACTGGAATACTGTACAAAGCGTTAACACGTCTTATATAACAACGAGTAGATAGAAGCACATATGTAGATGCAAACTTACCTATAGAAGAGACCGGCTTGCTTATCATTTGTTAAAGAGATCTCTTGTATAATGAAAATTGTTATAGACCAATCTGTTTTCAGCAACGTAACTGGTATCACTGAAGTTCAATGTTTGCCTGTGCAATATAGTTTGACAATACCGTACGTACCAGCTCTGTCCGTGCCCGCGATTGTGTTGACCTCATAAGCTCCAGCAGTTATCAAAACATTGTCTGTCACAACACAAAACAATGAAACATTCTTCATTTGGAATGTGAATAGTGCAAGCAGCAAGCTTACAGAAAGTAGAAACGATTTCATAATATAATGTATATATTTTTATTCTTTTTAAAAAAAATTAAAATGTGTATCGCGTTATAGAACGACTCTTCTTGATGTGGGAGGAAAGCCCGAAGTGATGCAGGTCTTCGACATTCACCACGGGCAGGAGTATGGCCCTGACAAGACTAGAAACATTATCAGGTCGACATGGGATTCGAGCAAAGGAGCATAAATTCGCACAACAACTGGTTCATCTTTGCCCCCGACCAGACCACTATACATTAAGGTTTGAATTAAAAAAATTAAGTGATATTGTAACGCGTTTCCTCAGTAGCTGGTAATACTTTCGTACCGTTCTTGATTATGAAACGCCTGTGACAGTTAGCTTAATCTTTATTTCAGTTGTAATGTGTATTTGCGTTTTCTGCTCACTAAATTTAACAGTATAAACCAGACGAATGTTTGCAATCATAGATATTCTGCCGATACGCATATTAACAACTATGCTAAACATCAGTTGAAGCTGTAGTGCTTTTTGTTCATAGCGTGTGCACATGTTAAATAGAAGGTGTTGGGATATTGACTCGAAATTCGGAAAACGTTTTTAGAGAAAATTGCGCCTTATGAATGCTTAACGAATCCATTATTTCACCAACATCTTCATGGGTAAAACCTGTAAATAAAGCGACAAAACCCTTTCTATATCAAATAGATATCTCTGCATAAAGCAGAGTCGATTGTACAATTCCGACTGTATCATGGGCATGTGTTTATGAACATCATCAAAAAGTAATGATACCAGGTGTTCGCGAAACTGGTGGCGCCGGTCACAAACACATGCAAATGCAACTCAGCTGTTCACCTGAAAAAACAACAACATGGCAACATATGGTACAAGTAAAAATAGGGGATTGCATCGGACATCATGTTCGTCACTGATGCGTCAAATTTGGAAATGTCCACCACATGTCTACCATAAAACGTTTTGAAAGCTTTACTGGGGCCTTGAATGTTGTAACCTTGATCAAACAACTTCTGAGCAAGAGTCGTATGACGCTCTTTGAAATCTTGATAGAAAGAGCATGCTTGATTGTACTTCAAAAGTTGCGAAATTTAAACACAAAAGGCTGGAGCTGATAACGTGATGATCTAAAATTACATAACTTACAAAGGGCGTCTGGGCACGCTATTTCAGAACATGTCTCGTGGAAATTAAGATGATTGCAAGTAGCTTTTGAAACAACCGTAAAATCGTAGCGCACAGCCTCAACACACGACACGGCGATTGAATTTCTGCTAACGCTTCAAGGCAATTAAACAAATGGTCTTATGTAAATGCCGAACTATTAGACGACTGACCCCAATCCCACCCAAGTTGGCTAAGTAAAACGTACTTTTATTATATTGTGGGTAGTGTGGTTACATGGCTTAGACCCGTGTCTTCC